ATGCACAGGTGTAATTGATGAGCATCAGAAAAGACTTTGGAGGTGTAACAATTGTACTAATGTACAGGTGTAATTGATCAACATCAGTACAGACTTGTAATTGATGAACATCAGCACCGCCTTTTTAGGTGTAACTATTGTACTTATGTACAGGTGGAATTGGTGAACATCAGTACAGACTTTTTAGGTGTAACAATTGTACTTATGCACAGCTGTAATTGATGAACATCAGGACAGACTTTGTAGGTGTACCAATTGTACTGATGTACAAGTGGAATTGATGAACATCAGTACCGACTTTTTATGTGTAACTATTGTACTTATGCACAGCTGTAATTGATGAACATCAAGTACAGACTTTGTAGGTTTAACAATGTACTTATGTACAGGTGGAATTGTTGAACATCAGTAAAGACTTTGTAGGTGTATCAATTGTACTTATGTACAGGTGTAATTGATGAACATCAGTACAGACTTTGTAGGTGTAACAATTGTACTGATGTACAGGTGTAATTGATGAACATCAGTACATACTTTGTAGGTGTAACAATTGTACTGATGTACAGGTGTAATTGATGAACATCAGTACAGACTTTGTAGGTGTAACAATGGTACTTATGTACAGGTGGAATTGTTGAACATCAGTACAGACTTTGTAGGTGTAACAATTGTACTGATGTACAAGTGTAATTGATGAACATCAGTACAGGTGTAATAATTGTACATATGTTTATGTCATATTGAGTGTATGGTTGGAATAATGTACAGCTGTAGCAATGTTATACAGGTGTAATCATAACAAATTTAACACTACTGATTCTCCAACAACCAACCACATTTGGATGTTCCTGGAAAAATTTAATGTTGTCCATCAATAACTTTCTAGGAATGTACAAGTAAATGAGTATGGAGATGACACTCTTTATGTGATAAATTTGGTAACAGTACAGAGATGGTTGTTTGTGGTATATACGGTACCTGTATAGTACATAGATGATTGTTTGTGGTATATACGGTACCTGTATAATACNAATTGATGAACATCAGTACAGACTTTGTAGGTGTAACAATGGTACTTATGTACAGGTGGAATTGTTGAACATCAGTACAGACTTTGTAGGTGTAACAATTGTACTGATGTACAAGTGTAATTGATGAACATCAGTACAGGTGTAATAATTGTACATATGTTTATGTCATATTGAGTGTATGGTTGGAATAATGTACAGCTGTAGCAATGTTATACAGGTGTAATCATAACAAATTTAACACTACTGATTCTCCAACAACCAACCACATTTGGATGTTCCTGGAAAAATTTAATGTTGTCCATCAATAACTTTCTAGGAATGTACAAGTAAATGAGTATGGAGATGACACTCTTTATGTGATAAATTTGGTAACAGTACAGAGATGGTTGTTTGTGGTATATACGGTACCTGTATAGTACAGAGATGATTGTTTGTGGTATATACGGTACCTGTACAGTACAGAGATGGTTGTTTGTGGTATATACGGTACCTGTATAGTACATAGATGATTGTTTGTGGTATATACGGTACCTGTATAATACAGAGATGATTGTTTGTGGTATATACGGTACCTGTACAGAGATGATTGTTTGTGGTATATACGGTACCTGTATAGGACAGAGATGATTGTTTGTGGTATATACGGTACCTGTATAGGACAGAGATGATTGTTTGTGGTATATACGGTACCTGTATAGTACAGAGATGATTGTTTGTGGTATATACGGTACCTGTATAGTACAGAGATGATTGTTTGTGGTATATACGGTACCTGTATAGTACAGAGATGATTGTTTGTGGTATATACGGTACCTGTATAGTACAGAGATGATTGTTTGTGGTATATACGGTACCTGTATAGTACAGAGATGATTGTTTGTGGTATATACGGTACCTGTATAGTACAGAGATGATTGTTTGTGGTATATACGGTACCTGTATAGTACAGAGATGATTGTTTGTGGTATATACGGTACCTGTATAGTACAGAGATGATTGTTTGTGGTATATACGGTACCTGTATAGTACAGAGATGATTGTTTGTGGTATATACGGTACCTGTATAGTACAGAGATGATTGTTTGTGGTATATACGGTACCTGTATAGTACAGAGATGACTGTTTGTGGTATATACGGCACCTGTACAGAGATGATTGTTTGTGGTATATACGGTACCTGTACAGAACAGAGATGATTGTTTGTGGTATATACGGCACCTGTACAGAGATGATTGTGTGTGTGGTATATACGGTACCTGTACAGTACAGAGATGGTTGTTTGTGGTATATATGGTACCTGTATAGTACAGAGATGATTGTTTGTGGTATATATGGTACCTGTATAGTACAGAGAAGATTGTTTGTGGTATATACGGTACCTGTACAGTACAAACAAGTTTGTGAGGTGTTTTGTACATGACTATAGATATAGTTACATAGTTACTGCAGCAGACAATGTGCTGTTGAAATTCTGCTGGACCAAACACTGACTACCAAATGGAATATTTGACCAATCAAACGTGTGATGACATTTTCTGCTCAACCAATCAAAAGATTATTTTTTTTCATGTCTGGCATGTAATTGTCCCATCACATAATGATTCTCAGTTTCTCCCCATCATTAACATGCCTGGAAGACCAATGATAAAAAAAAAATGTGAAATGCTTGACCAATCAAATGCTTCAGTACATTCTCTGTTGGACTTATGAGGTCAGTAATGGATGACAAATCAATGAAGGTCTGACAAGTAATATTACACATCAAAGTTGTAATAAACATCTACACAATGTCACACTCCTGTCACTCGTTACCATGGCAGTGGCTGATTGTCCACCTAATGTAGGCTATTTCACGATATTCTGATCACAGAACTCTATTTGCCTATGTGATCATTGACGTATATTATATAATAATGTTCAAACAACGATTATATTGCTCCATTCTAATCTGCTACAGGGAACCTGAAGCTAATTGAGATATATGAATATATTGTTCTGCTGTAGGTTTTGATCATGCTATACTGATACTGGTCCGGGTGTATGATTAGCCGTGGGAGAAAAGTGTTAATGATAATTAAGGTACACTATATATAGATCGCCTCTAATTATATAAACACTACTGGATACTTGTTTCCTAAAGCATAAGGTATTATTTCTTTGATGTTATTTGAAAATACTCATTTCATATCTAGCTATCCAATTTAATGCTAACACAAGATGATAAATAATGTTTCCTTATTCCCTAATCAACTTGAAATACCTATATATGTACTGACAATGACAAATTTGCATTTACATGTTTGATCTATCATTTTAATGCTGACATATTTAAGTTGATTGATACACTAAAACTAATTTTATGTAGACTCAGGGAAGAAGTGATCAAGGATTAAATTCATGCCTACTAAAATGCAGTTCATGAATAAAACTAATGAATTCTATTTAAGGATCCCTGTCCCACTGCCCTTTGGTTTTTCGTATATACAGTAACCTCTCCTTAACTTCCTTAAGGATACCTGTCCCACTGCTCTGTGGTTTTTCGTATATACAGTACATGTACGTATAAAACTAATGAATTCTATTTAAGGATCCCTGTCCCACTGCCCTGTGGTTTTTCGTATATGCAGTCAACTTCCCTCAATTTAAAGTTGGATATAACTGGAGCACAGATGTACCACAACATTTCTGTTGACCAGTTGGCTCAGTTGGTCAGAGTGACTACAACAATCAGAAGTCTATAGGCCTTAGGGTTCAAATCCCAGCCTTAAGCCTCGCCACGGAATTATCCGTGGCCTCGCTAATTTTAAACACTCAGAACACTGTTGCTGATTATACATTTTGTTTCTTTCAACTTCATTATTTTATCTTCATAAAAGTCCCACAAGGTATTTTTTTCAGAAATGATTTATCAGAAAAAGTGTCCACTACCTGGTTACAGTTTTGGCAGTGGCCCAGGGATCAGTTATGACAATAGTGGGTGTAGGAAGCACAGACTTTTCTTTGGTCAAAATGAGCAAATATCAGCAGTTTGTCCAGACCACAAAGATGGAATAATATACAAATGTTTAAGGAAGTTACAAATAGTAGGTCTAGATTCATCATAGAAATCTTCTAATCATTTGAAATAACATTCCCTTTCAATGGAAAACTGTGGTTAAAGGTAGAGTATAGGGCCATAGATATGAAGCAAGTCCTGTCGTTGACTTCATGACTAGAAAAATAACAATTTAATTGAAAGGACTACTTCTATTAATTATCACTATTAATTATAAGGCATTACCAAGAAATCAAAGTGAACTTAGTGATGCTCAAAGTGTCTAAATATCTGACATCCACTCAGGGTTGTTTACTCATGTGTGTAAATTGATGGGGCGCATTACAAGTATTGTAACGACAAAAATCCATAGTCTGTCGTGGGAAGGTTTTACGTGGGAAAGTTTTACGTATGTGGAGGGCCTGGGTCTCTGTGCAATTTGTATATTGCATGTTGTAGGCCATCTTCTCTCAGCTGTGCACTTAATGGAAACAGGTACCCAGTAATCTTTGAGGAACAGACTTTGTATAGAATTACAAAAATATATGGCTAAGTGGCACGTTTTGATTAGGGGCATGGTTATCTAGACATAAGCTCGTAACTCAAACTTCCAGCATCAGCAAAAGCTGGGTTTTGTTACTCTACTTTCTTGGAGAGGTTCTTAGCATTTCTATTTCATCCCTGTATTATAAATACTCATTTATATATTTGAAATGTTGTCGAGAGTAAACATTGTGATGACCTATAAATGAAGATTGATGATATCATTGTTAGTCAGGTTTTGGTCCAGTTTGTGTCATAAAATTTAATACGTAAAATAATAAAGATCATAGAAATGTCTAAAAGCAGTCTGCACACTTGAACTGAAATCACTGGAAGCACATCCGGGGTCATACTAGGGTTTCGGGTGCATACATATTATAAGCAATTCGTACATTTCTCACGCGTCGCACCAAAGTTCCGATGTCGGTCATGCATGGCACATTGCGTGGCGACTTTGGAGACCTGGGACATTCATCATAGTGTTCTGAACCGAGTTGACGTTTTGGAGATCGTGGAGCATCATATTCGTCCATATATGTCCGTGGGTTTGGCATCGGTGGGCGTGTCACATCAGGGAGGTCCACATGTAGCGGGGCGTCAACAAAGTCCGTGAAGATAGTTGGATCATCTAGGGGTGACTTAAGGAAATCATTGATATACTTACTGCATCCAAGGAAGCACAAAGAAAGGAAAAAAATAAATACAATTTTAGCGCGAAAGGAATTTATAATACTCTTTCATTGATATAATAATGTTACTGTGAGAATTCCTTATCTGTTTTAAATTCAATGAAATTAATTATCAAAACAACCATCATGTTCACAGAGTTTGTAGTTTCCTCAGAGAATATTATGACGTGTATTTTATCCTACAGTAACCATACATACTAAAAGAGGGAGATATCCTATGGGGACTACCTACACAAGTCAGGCCTGCAGTCCTATAATCGGCCAAATCGCTGACAAAAGGACGGTAAAATATTCTTCAATCGCTAATTCTAGAATAAATGTCCTCTGATGATAAACTTTACAAATACATTAATTATGTTACGGAGAGACATGGCCATTACAATGTACATGTATTGGGTTAGGACATGGTCACATCACTACAATATTTATCAGATAGTTCTGCGAGTTTCATCATTTTTTGGAAATTTCCTGATATTAATCTTTAGACAGTTCCTGAGAAACATTAATCCTGTCCTTGATTTCAGCCTGTAATGTTGGTCCATACCCAAGTGAATAGCTAGATCTAATCAAACCTCCTGAAGCTATCCTTACACACTTTTCTGGGATAATCAACCATTAAAACAGTGTTCCTTTTCAAATTTTAATGAAAACGTACACGTTTTTGACGGCATGTTGACAAACTTTCTCACATAATTTTCTGTTCCATATAAACAATAACCACAGAAAAGCCCACATTCTCCTGAGGATCAAATTAAACTGTAGCAATTTTGACAACTCTTACAGGACTCTGATACAACTATAATATATTGAGTCCCCTTCTAGAACTGTAATACATCTATAGTGTCTCTCCGGTACAAAATAGACACTTTCTTCTGACTCGGCTTGAGGGCTTTTTTCTTTTTACCTCATTCTGTAGAGCGTGTAAAGACTAGAAAACAAGATTTAGAGGTTACAGGTTTGGCTCCTATCAGAGGCATCGGAAAAATAGTGACCTCTAGATCTGTTTCAAAAGCAATGTTGACATCATTTCAAGAAACAAATACAACAATGTTGACGCTATTTCGTGAACGCAAAACACAACTAAAGCAATGTTGACCTTTCCTTTATAGATCTCCAATGCAACTACATTAATGTTGACATCCCTTATAAAAATGTAATAAATACTACAATGTTCACTCCCCTTCTAGAACCCCAACATAAATACAGCAATGTTGACTCCCGTTCTAGAACCCCAATATAAATACAGCAACGTTGACTCTCCTTCTAGAACCCCAATATAAATACAGCAATTTAACTTTCATTCTAGAACCCCAATATAAATACAGCAATGTTGACTCTCCTTCTAGAACCCCAATATAAATACAGCAACGTTGACTCTCCTTCTAGAACCCCAATATAAATACAGCAATGTTGACTCTCCTTCTAGAACCCCAATATAAATACAGCAACGTTGACTCTCCTTCTAGAACCCCAATATAAATACAGCAATGTTGACTCTCCTTCTAGAACCCCAATATAAATACAGCAACGTTGACTCTCCTTCTAGAACCCCAATATAAATACAGCAATGTTGACTCTCCTTCTAGAACCCCAATATAAATACAGCAACGTTGACTCTCCTTCTAGAACCCCAATATAAATACAGCAATGTTGACTCTCCTTCTAGAACCCCAATATAAATACAGCAACGTTGACTCTCCTTCTAGAACCCCAATATAAATACAGCAATGTTGACTCTCCTTCTAGAACCCCAATATAAATACAGCAACGTTGACTCTCCTTCTAGAACCCCAATATAAATACAGCAATGTTGACTCTCCTTCTAGAACCCCAATATAAATACAGCAACGTTGACTCTCCTTCTAGAACCCCAATATAAATACAGCAATGTTGACTCTCCTTCTAGAACCCCAATATAAATACAGCAACGTTGACTCTCCTTCTAGAACCCCAATATAAATACAGCAATGTTGACTCTCCTTCTAGAACCCCAATATAAATACAGCAACGTTGACTCTCCTTCTAGAACCCCAATATAAATACAGCAATGTTGACTCTCCTTCTAGAACCCCAATATAAATACAGCAACGTTGACTCTCCTTCTAGAACCCCAATATAAATACAGCAACGTTGACTCTCCTTCTAGAACCCCAATATAAATACAGCAATGTTAACTCTTCTTCTAGAAAGAACCCCAATATAAATACAGCAATGTTAACTCTCCTTCAAGAACCCCAATATAAATACAGCAATGTTAACTCTCCTTCTAGATCCTCAATATAATGACAGCAATGTTGAAACCTCCTATTAGATGGCCAATAGAACAAGCAGTCTTTACTATTGGAATCCTAGTGTTGAGCGGTCCCATGGGAGACTGAGTGTTGGTCAATCTGGGGATATGTTAAGTGGATATTTCCAATTGAATTCAATTCAATCTCATGGGAAATCTAATAAATTGTATTGTGTTGAAATACTACAAACTAACATCAGGAAAGTGGAAACACAGGGTTTGAGGACATCTGCAGATTCCAGAATGGTGATATGATATTGTATACTGATATCAGAGAGTAGACAGTTTGTATCATTGCAGTAATTATAATTTGATAAATTGACTGATGTGTTTATAACATGATCACTGTGCTAGTTTTGAGAAGAATTAATTCATTAAAGTGTTATGAGTGTCCTACTTCTGTGCGTGGGAAAATGATTAAATCCAGCAACAATATCTGAAAACATATTATACTACACCAGAGACGTCGATCTGGCTCAAATTTAAATGAGTCTGCTGGTGACGGATCCTGTGTTGCTTGACTAGGTTCTATCACTTTTGTTTTTGTTGCTTAAAAAAACATAAATCAACATATGCTCAATTTGCTAGCGCTTTATTATGATTAAGCTCACTTTGCAAAAACCTCAAACATTGTCAATCAAAGACATAATATAATGTATTCTACAGCCAATAGAAAAGACAAACCGCATGAACTGATCGATACAAGGCCAATAGCCATTCTGTCCACTTTTCCTATTCTGTTTCACAGAACATGTATTTACTTCTATGGTTATGTTCATGTCAAACTAATGCATGGTTTGTTCTCTATTTAACAGGCCATTTAACGTGGACAAGAACTGTAAGAGTGCATGTGTTTTAATGTTAGTAAAGAGTATTACACTGGGAATGATGACCTTAACAAGAATTACAGGTGGTACTGATCAAGTGTGACAACTATCAAGCGTGAACACTTTCACGTGTAATTCCCAGTTTTAATCTCTACCCTCTTCTCACTATTAAGCTAGTGGACAGATTATGTAATAGAAACAAGCTTTTCAAAGAATTAGTCATGAACGCTTTTAGTCAAAATTATTTCTACTTATTTCTTCATTATTTGAAGGCTAGTGTCATATACTAGGAAACCATTTATGAATATGGCAAATATGATGAGGACTGAAAATTGTACCTGATTGGTTAGGAAACTAAACATGAAGCACCAATCAATGAGTGGAAAAAAGTCATCTGCATGTTCAACATGGTTTATGAAACTCAAATACATATAGTGTTGGTGTCCTTGTATTTTGGGTGATCCTATTGACAATGGCTTTACAACTGCAATGTAGCTTGTGATACTGACCTAGTTTCCTGTTGTGAAACTGACCTAGTTTCCTGTTGTGATACTGACCTAGTTTCCTGTTGTGACACTGACCTAGTTTTCTGTTGAGACACTGACCTAGTTTTCCCCGATTTGACACTGACTTTGTTTCCTGTTGAGACACTGGCCTAGTTTCCTGTTGTGACATTGACCTAGTTTCCTGTTGTGATAATGATCTAGTTCTCAGTTTTGATATTTACCTAGTTTCTATTTATGTCACTGCCCTTGTCCTATGTGGTGCGTTTGAGGGTGCATTGGTATAAACCAGTCACTATTTTTTAAACTGCATCCAGGTATAATAGGATGTGACAGTGATGGATTAAATGTTGTGATCATTAACATTCTCAGTGACACCACATGTTTTCATGTTACAACTTTATTTAACCTTTAATTTCAATAAAACATAGCATATTACTTTCAACATCCAAATGTCAATTACTGGCAGTTAATTGTGTTGTAGAGTAAATCTAGTATTTACATAAATCTATTATCTAAATATTACACAACTACATGTAAATGATTTGTTCATGACACTACAAACATGCAATTCATATAATTACAATTAAAACACAGAAAAAAAGAATGGCAAGCTATTGACAAATAGAACAATGAAAGAAAGAGTTTACATCTCTTTATTATCAAAATTAATGTTTATATACATGTATCACAAAATAGTAATATTTTAACATGCATATTCATCAATTGCTTCTCTCATGCATATTCATTTATCTATAAAACTCTATCACATTAATACAAGATTCATGTCTATGCCAGGGCCAATGATAATCCCGATTGTCAAATATCTAACAGACATTTTACATCACACAGATGTTTAAATACTTATGCAACACTTGCTCCCATGTACCAATACTATTTCATTTCTAATTCAATGTACTTGGTAATTTCTAAAAAATTACAAAAAATATTTTAATGTCAAAAATAATAATAAATGGTCAAAGGTCAACCATACAATTGTATTAGGAAAAAGATTAGGACACAAGGTGATAGGTACAATTTAGGTACAATTATAGGTGATACTATGTACGTGTACCTGTTGTAAGGTGATAGGTACAATTTAGGTACAATTATAGGCGATACTACGTACGTGTACCTGTTGTAAGGTGATAGGTACAATTTAGGTACAATTATAGGCGATACTACGTACGTGTACCTATTGTAAGGTGATAGGTACAGTTTAGGTACAATTATAGGTGATACTATGTACGTGTACCTGTTGTAAGGTGATAGGTACAACTTAGGTACAATTATAGGTGATACTACGTACGTGTACCTGTTGTAAGGTGATAGGTACAATTTAGGTACAATTATAGGCGATACTACGTACGTGTACCTGTTGTAAGGTGATAGGTACAATTTAGGTACAATTATAGGCGATACTACGTACGTGTACCTATTGTAAGGTGATAGGTACAGTTTAGGTACAATTATAGGTTAACTACGTACGTGTACCTGTTGTAAGGTGATAGGTACAATTTAGGTACAATTATAGGCGATACTACGTACGTGTCCCTATTGTAAGGTGATAGGTACATTTTAGGTACAATTATAGGTTAACTACGTACGTGTACCTATTGTAAGGAGATAGGTACAGTTTAGGTACAATTATAGTTGATACTACGTACGTGTACCTATTGTAAGGGGATAGGGACAGTTTAGGTACAATTATAGGTGATACTACGTAAGTGTACCTGTTGTAAGGTAATAGGTACAGTTAAGGTACAATTATAGGTTAACTACGTACGTGTACCTATTGTAAGGTGATAGGCACAGTTTAGGTACAATTATAGGTGATACTATGTACGTGTACCTGTTGTAAATTGATTGTAACGGGTGATGATGTTGAAGACTGTGTTTAGGACTTGTGTGTAGTTTGTTATTTATGACACAAATCCATTTTCAGTCAAATTTACATCACTGATGACTTTGCTATTATTAAAATAAAAATATACACATTTGATGATTTAAAACAATCATCATCAGGTTTGTTTTAAATTGTAAAACAAAATGATCTCATAAAGAAAACTCACATTATTTTCGGGGAAATGTGGTATTAATACTGTATTACAAGAATATTTATATCATTGTTAAATTAATACTTATTCTAATCTCAATATGAACTAATAAAACTTGAAGAAGATGACATTTCTACTGAAGGCCCTGTGGATGCATTGGCTTGATGTAAAACAATAGTTGAAAAGGTGTCCTGCTCAATGCTCCCTTTCTGTCATGACAACTGAAGATTTGTATGTATCATTTACCTAAAATCTGATTTCTTTTAGAGTTATACATAAACCAATTCATGACAACCAATTTGTTACAGAAATTATTTTTGTGTCAGCTAATTGCTTAGCACTATTAGCTGTAACTCTGTATTTTTTTAACAGATGAGTTTCAAACTTACGAAGCAATGCAAATAATCTCATATATACAAAATCTGTTCAGTGCTCAAAACGTTGGCTGTCAAGCTTAGATACAGTGATGTCATATTTCAGAGGGATCACACAAGCTATAATTTTTATTCGATCAAATTTTTAAGCAAAAAAAATATATTTCCAGAAATAACTTTCACTTATTTTGTAAAACCTGTTTACAAGGAATTGGGCTTGATACTAGATATGAATATAGAGGCACACAATGCCTATGTCCATAACATTTCCTTTTAAAAGATACTAAACTTATCACCGGTAATTGTAGTCTGAAAGACATATCACACACATAGATATATCTCTGTTGACAGTGATCAAAGCTTAATTTTCTCAGTCTGTTAAGTCTTGTGAAGTATACATCCCCTAAATGTTTTGAGACTGAATGATATAGAGGTAAAAATTACTTCAGTATAATTATTGTAAGCATGAAACTAACAGGGCCTGATAATATTACATTCAACAAGAAAATGGTTAAAACATACCTATACTCCAGCTCCTTCTCTGATGGAAAAGGAGCTCAACACAAAGACTAACCAAAGTCAATGAAAATTCAAAGTAAAGATAACTGGATGATTTTATTTACTTGGAATGTTGATTACGTTTTGTGCTGGACTACTGAATTCCAATGGGAACCAGGCTTCCAAACCTTTGGAACTAACGGAATATGGTCGTTGGATCTCATTTGCACTGCTAAGTCAATGAAGTTAAAAAATATAAGTCACAGTGACCTACTTTTGATATTGGTGTTGTACATGTACTCTCTACTACCAATATTTATATATACATGTATATCTATATTACATGAAGTTTGATAAAGTACTACTGGACTTCTAGATTCAAAGTTCTAGCTGGGAGGTTGTATGTACAGATATACAGGTAAGACCCTCATGCCCCCTCCGCTATGCCACAGGAGAGGATATTTTCTGAATCATTTAATGCTGGTCTAGGTAAAGTGTGGCAGTGATAGATACATGGATATCCTACATGTTAGGTACTGGTCATGTCCTGATATTGGTCTCGATATTTGTAACTAGGCAAGAAAAACTGACATACAGCATGTCTTGTCTTTTTATAGAAACCACTGGCACAGGTTATTTATATTCACATCATGTAGTCATGCAAAAACAACAACACTTAAGGAATAAATTTTATCCAGAAAACAATGAAATAAAGATGTAACAACGAACAAAAACAAATCAAAAGTGACACGATTTGTACCTAAATGATCGTGGGTTTTCACAGGTACAGAAAACTATGCAATGCAAGGCAGCTCTAATTCGGCGCAACAATTTCCTGAGGAAAACAAAAACTGACATTACAGGTATTATAACTCAACAATAACAATCATACAAACTCCAGTTCATCAGCCTAGAACTCAGGTTACCTCATGTATAGGGGCAGTCTGTATAGGGGCAGTATAGGGGCAGTCTGTATAGGGGCAGTATAGGGGCAGTCTGTATAGGGGCAGTCTACGATTCTAATGTCTGCTCGCCATTTGTTTCATTATTTTGTTGAACTCTGTATTGGACATGTAGTGTCTAATACATTTTAGATTTTAAGTAAAGCTGGAAAAGTCATGGTCAAATTAATTTCACAGTAAAGTATCTTCATAACAAACCCCTTAACCAGTATCCCCACTATAGTTTAGATTTTGGGGTATTTTTTTTAATGAACTTTCAAGATTCTATGTGATCAGTTCCATTGTCACATAAGAAAATTCTTGTAAACTAGGGGTACGATCAGCTGTTTTGAAAAAAATCTCATTTGAGTGTTTTTGGGAGCACTGCTTAACCTAAAACTTGTTACATAGGTTGATGTTTGTGTACCAGGGCAAAAATATGGCTACATTATTGGCATCTAAGTCCATAAAATGTTTGTAGTGAACCTGATTCACTGTACCAAGTGGCTGATCTCTGGACCTAAAATCCTATGTGTAGCTTGTTACGATGATCTGATCAACCCACACTCATCCTATTAACATTGGTGGTGGAGGGATTAGTGTTACATACCTTTAATCACACATACATTTGTAAATCCACAAGTACAGCCAAAGTTTCCAGGTCACACAAACAAGGGGTTGTTTTACCTGATTATAAAATTTCCTGTTAGATTTCTAGGAGAACCTGACCAAAATGACATCTTGTTTCTTGCTATATTCGAATTCCCAACTTATTGAGATCTAAGAACACCAGGAGGGAAAGTTAAATTTAGATGACCTTAGTTGAACTTTGACCTTCAGATTTACATACATATTTGGAGGTATACTTTCCAAATAATAAAAAGTAATTTCACAACTTACTCAAACATAAGATCACCAGGAAGGTAAGAACTATAGATTATAGCACAGAACAAGATATTAATTTGTTAATTTTCTTTGTCATGGATTAACAGTTATAGTAGATGGTAAACAGAAATATGTGATATACAGTCATGTACAGAGTAGGTATGATGCCCTATATTCAGTTTCAGTTAATTCCAGCCGGTGACAGTTCATATACAATAGTATGTTTAGTTACATTTGTACACTCCTGTACAGACCTTCTACACACTCCTGACCACAGTATATACAGTATCTGTACAATTACTGACCACAACAAATAGTCTCTGGATATTTCTGACCAGTTTAATAGGTAAAGTACAGTTTCTGGACATTACTGACCACCGTATCTGAGTATAGATGACAACAGCTAACAGTTTAAGACCACCATCCCCATACCCCCCACCAAATATTTTTTGAAATTTGTGTATGGATCTACCACTGTGCACCCACAAAATGTGGAGATACATGGCAATCTTGACTAATTAAAAAAGAAAATGCTCACCTTGATCACTTAAGATATTATATTAAAATGAAATTTATTTAGCCCCAAAACCATTCCGAGTCTATAAAATGTTTACATTATACTGACTTAAAGGAGCTTATTATAACCTTCCTAGGACACAGACATACCATTTACTGTGGTTGTAGGGATGTACAGGTCTCTACAGGAGCTAGCTATCATACAGGGCATTCCATAGAAACAAATTTATGGAAAAACAGCCATACATAATATCAAGTCTGTCATGGGTCCACTTTCTGAGAAAATTTGAATGCTCACTTCTCAAGTCTCCATTTCAATTGCAAGTTTAACTTCTATGCCCTTTAAAACTTCAAAATGACACAAATAAAATTTCCTTTTCATCCGAACATTATGTTATACCTGTAAATTTGTTAGCACCAAATTATGATCTTTCTGTGGCAAACACAGATTACAAATTAAATAATCCTGTCAGAGAACTCATCTATACAAATACATTTTACCTGAGAAAGATCATCTGTTCATACTTTCCCCAAAGTCTGAGCACTTATAACACATGACAGACAGAAATCATAACAAAAAAGAGATCTGCGCTCAGCAAAATTAGGACAGGTGTAACAAAACAGGTAAAACTTATATAAAACATGCATCACAGGTCACAAAAGGTCACAAGGGAGGTTAGAGGTCATCCTTACTTGTTGGACACCCCGTAAAGACCATGTTCCTTGATATAGTCAATCACTGGATCTTGTATAAGATATTTCACACTCTCCCCTCGCCGAATTGCCCTCCTGTAAACACAAACTTTTCTTGTCACTATTCACTTTCCTATTAGCATGGCATATGGAACATCAAAACATTATTAGATCAAATTAGTATTTGAAATATGCACTGATCATGAAACTAAAAACTGTATAATGTTAAAAGGCAAAGTAATGTTAACACTTAACAGTAAAAAGCAAGGTAACATTTACACTTAACAGTAAAAGGCAAGGTAACGTTTACACCTAACAGAAAAAGGCAAGGTAACGTTTACACTTAACAGTAAAAGGCAAGGTAACGTTAACACCTAACAGTAAAAGGCAAGGTAATGTTTACACCTAACAGTAAAAGGCAAGGTAACGTTTACACCTAACAGTAAAAGGCAAGGTAACGTTAACACCTAACAGTAAAAGGCAAGGTAACGATTACACCTAACAGTAAAAGGCAAGGTAAAGTTTACACTTAACAGTAAAAGGCAAGGTACCGTTTACACTTAACAGTAAAAGGCAAGGTAACGTTAACACCTAACAGTAAAAGGCAAGGTAACGTTAACACCTAACAGTAAAAGGCAAGGTAACGATTACACCTAACAGTAAAAGGCAAGGTAAAGTTTACACTTAACAGTAAAAGGCAAGGTAACGTTAACACCTAACAGTAAAAGGCAAAGTAATGTTTACACCTAACAGTAAAAGGCAAGGAGTACGTTTACACTTAACAGTAAAAGGCAAGGTAACGTTTACACCTAACAGTAAAAGACAAGGTAATGTTTACACTTAACAGTAAAAGGCAAGGTAACGTTTACACCTAACAGTAAAAGGCAAGGTAACGTTTACACTTAACAGTAAAAGGCAAATATACATAAAACTCATTCTCAATGATCTAAGATATGACTTGATAACAGTACAATGACTTACCTGATTCTTGTTGCACTTATATCATTTTCTATCCATTCTGTCACAATGAAAATATTTTCCTGTGGAATATAAAAATTGAGAAAACTTATATTAAATTTGATTATGATTAAGCCATTCATCTCAAAAGTTTTTTCATGATCCAAGCCATTTGGCTATAAAGAAATCTGATTGCATATTCCAACTTCGAGTTAAAATGCAAAGCGGTTTAATAAGCACAAAAGTGCACACCTTTTTTATATGTTGTATAACCCCCAAAAAAATCATGCTTATCCCTTATAACTTAACTTAAAACAAAACAGACAACACTTAACTAGTTCATAGATGATAAATATTTATTCACTTCTGAAAAAGAAAAAAATTATGCACAAAACTCAACATTGCGCAGTAATTTCATTGTCAAGCAACTTCAACCAATCAGAAGGTAAATTTAGATTACAAATACTGCGCCAAACATTGTGATATATGACGTCATCACTTTTTGTGTTGTCAATTTTTTTAAGGTTATACAATATAACATGAAAAAGTGAAGCATTGGAGGAATAGCCAAAATTAAATTATTACTTGATAGCTTGGTTACCTCACAGTGTTACCACACATACAGTAAGGTTTTGAGCTAAAACTAAGACACTAATCTGTCCACAACCCACCTGGTATTTACTGAGGATGTCTGACTCATAGATAAACTTCCTTGGGTTAGAGCCAGCCCTTGTTATGCACACGAGGCCATGGTTGCTGACAATATTTTCAATCTGAGAAAAAAGAAAATTACAAATCTGTGATATCTGAAGTCATACAAAACAAAATACCCACATGATTACTGTCAGAAAAGATGGCAACAGAAATAATTATTTTTACGAATGTGACATGAGATGGAAACCAGATCAATTAAACCTAATGAATAAGAGCTATATAACAGTTTGTACATTGTCATGGAAAAGTGTCCTTATTTCAAGGCTTGGTTAGATTAACAGGTAACAAACTTTGCCAACAAAAAAGTTCTAATAAAAGATTTCACACTTCCACAACTTGATTTCATATACATATGTACAACTTATAACAGATGGGATTTTCAACATTTCTTTTATCTACAGATAAAAAACCTGTTGCATTCAGAACTGTTCAGGTTTTTAACAATGGACCTGAAACTAAAACTTGATTCCTATAATTGATTAAATTTGACAAACTTACATCTTCTTCCTTCCACAGCCCGGGGGTGCCGAAGGACTCGAGGAGGTCACCTCCACACAGAAGTTTGACCACCACATTGTCCTTGTTGGACACTCCGGTGGACAGCCGTGTGTTGTAGGAGTTAGGGATCTCTATACCCCTGTCAATCTCATCTGTCACAGAAATATCTCCTTATTTTCATGTGTCATATGCTTGGCAACTGTATTCATGTGACATATGTGTTACAACTGTATGTTTGTGTCTGTGTTACAACTGTATGTTTGTGTCTGTGTTACAACTGTATGTTTGTGTCTGTGTTACAACTGTATGTTTGTGTCTGTGTTACAACTGTATGTTTGTGTCTGTGTTACAACTGTATGTTTGTGTCTGTGTTACAACTGTATGTTTGTGTCTGTGTTACAACTGTATGTTTGTGTCTGTGTTACAACTGTATGTTTGTGTCTGTGTTACAACTGTATGTTTGTGTCTGTGTTACAACTGTATGTTTGTGTCTGTGTTACAACTGTATGTTTGTGTCTGTGTTACAACTGTATGTTTGTGTCTGTGTTACAACTGTATGTTTGTGTCTGTGTTACAACTGTATGTTTGTGTCTGTGTTACAACTGTATGTTTGTGTCTGTGTTACAACTGTATGTTTGTGTCTGTGTTACAACTGTATGTTTGTGTCTGTGTTACAACTGTATGTTTGTGTCTGTGTTACAACTGTATGTTTGTGTCTGTGTTACAACTGTATGTTTGTGTCTGTGTTACAACTGTATGTTTGTGTCTGTGTTACAACTGTATGTTTGTGTCTGTGTTACAACTGTATGTTTGTGTCTGGGTTACAACTGTATGTTTGTGTCTGGGTTACAACTGTATGTTTGTGTCTGGGTTACAACTGTATGTTTGTGTCTGTGTTACAACTGTAATTTCCAGAGATTAAATCAAACATTTATTCTCTCATACAGATTTTGAATGATTACATGTAGGATCAAGTTGTGTCTGAATGATCTTTTCCCAATAGCTTAGTATTCATCAAGTCATTTACCAGACAGAAACATCAAAAGAAGTATATTGCTTGCACAGGGCATTGCTATTTATTCATTGCAAGTTTGAATAGTCATTTTTTTTAAAAATCAAACAAATGAAATAAGAAAAAATAGATTATACGACACTAATATATTCCTTACTTTACAAGCTATATAAACTAAACATTTGGTGTTTGTTTTGTGAGGTTTGTTTTTGCACATATATATATTTTAACACATATCTAGACTTAAGCTTCCATTATCAATTCTGCAATGAGATAACCAGCTTGTTATTTCCTGATAATTCCTACAATAGCAACATTGTAGACTCAGTATGTAAAACATGACTTGTTTTCCATTTCAGAATCGATAACTTGGAATGTAATTGCTATTTATAGAGAAGTTATGAAGCCTCTTTACCTTCATTGATACTCTCATTGTGTAGATCTTTCCGCCTCTTTTTGGTTGGAGCTGGTTTTGTATTAACCCTACAGGACTTCTCCAGTACGGAGCGGTGGTGTGACAACACTTTGGCAGTCTCTGTCCAGGTAGCCTGCTCACATTCCCAGGTGTCCAATCTTTAACACAAGAAACAGTTATAAAACTATCATAAACATACTGTACATCCCCTGACAACTAGCTACCTCACACAAATATCGATCAACTGACAACTGACAACGGCAGATATCTTTTGACACAGGTAACCCTGACAACCACAGATATCTTTCTACACAACTAACCATGACAACTGACATCCACAGATATCTTTCTACACAAGTATCCCTGACAACTGACATCCACAGATATCTTTCTACACAAGTAACTTTGACTACTGACATCCACAGATATCTTTCTACACAAGTAACTTTGACAACTGACATCCACAGATATCTTTCTACACAAGTATCCCTGACAGCTGACATCCACGGTTATCTTTCTACACAAGTAACCCTGACAACTGACATCCACAGATATTTTTCTACACAAGTAACCCTGACAACTGACATCCACAGATAACTTTCTACACAAGTAAGCCTGACAACTGACATCCACAGATATCTTTCTACACAAGTAACTTTGACAACTGACATCCACAGATATCTTTCTACACAAGTAACCCTGACAACTGACATCCACAGATAACTTTCTACACAAGTAAGCCTGACAACTGACATCCACAGACATCTTTCTACACAAGTATCCCTGACAACTGACATCCACAGATGTCTTTCTAAACAAGTAACTCAAACAACTGACTTACTGAGATATCTGTTTATATTTTCATACAATTTACCTCATCATTTTGTAGAACATATGTTTTCCACTATTTACATAAGTTATATAATGACATTTGGTACAACACAACCACATTATATAACTTGAAAGGTACTGATTATATTGATCCTTTTACAAGACGTAACATTGTTTATACAGTCAGAACAAACATAGAGAGTGAATGGGATCAACTGATTTTTCTTTCAACTGAGAATAAATCTAACTTCAAAATCAGTACTGCTTTGCCTCACAGTCCTTAAGTAAAGTATCCTGAATGCTGATAACATCCTCTATGTTATATGGCAGTGTGAACGAGAGGAAATGTCAATTACATATACATGTAGATATGTTTCCTTAGTGAATGCAATGCTTGCATTGGTGGAGAATGGAGTATATGTACTGATGATGATGACGGAGATATCCTCCGCCCCTTCCTACTTCCTGTGTGAGGAACTGACATATGTCACATGTGTGTTGTTTTTATCAGTAAACATGGATGAGTACATGTATACACTGTAAACTATATACACTGTACACAACAATGTATTAACATACATTTGAATGTCATTTTGACTAATCTTAATCAACAGGTACAATCTCTTATTATGCTGGAGTATTCAGAGCCTCGATTCCAGCATTTTTCACATCACATCCCCACATATCCGCATCCAGCATTTGATGCATGGGTTGAGATGTACTACTTAACCCTTTCACCACTGTAGACCATAATGGACTCACCCAGATCAATGCATGGTAGAGCCTACTAAAGTTACATAGGGGTGAAAGGGTTAAGATGCATCTAGGGTCCAAGGTTGGTTGGTGTAGCACTTATGCTTTCAGAGAATATTATTAGTATTTTAGTTAAAATACATTTAACATTTTTAGTTGAATAATATAAAAAGTGAAATTTGAGGACATGCTATTTCTGAGGAACAAGAAATTGATTTTCTGTTAATGGTGATAATTTTTTCAAGAAAATTCAGTTAATTCCTTACTTTAAAATCTGATCTCTGCGTCACTAGAATCTACCTGTAGAGAATTAACGTTGACACCTACTATTTAGATTGTGATCACTGATAATCTGGAATGACAGTGATCAAGGTTTTATTGATTATATTAGGACCTGGAGGCTGCCTGACTATCACTACCTGATATATATTGACCATGCAGGGTATTGGCTTCTTGACAAATTATCGCCACTTTCACTTGCATGTTAAATGGTCAACAACATGAAAATCTCAATTATATATCATAGCAGATATATATACATCCAAGTTCCAAACAAACAATTTCAGATCTTTTTCTTTGCAACATTTTTTTGTAAGGTTGATACATGTTCAAATGCTTTCGCTAGATAAAGGACAGATCCATCACATTACTGTTAAGTCAATCAAAGCAGGCAATATAACGACCCATTTATTATCTCCTGGGTCCGGAGGCTGAATGTTTCTAAGCCTGGTCAGTCCCTCTGTAACCACAGCATCAACCCTGTACCGTCAGTCTGCCGCAATTAAGATTCCCCATATCACCAATACGTATGTTAATCTTCCAACTTGAAAATTATGTTTTAGACAATCAGTGAATAATCTTATGCAATTACAGATTTTTCAAGCTTGTGTATTTTTCTATAAGCTCTACACCAAGCTGGCTAATCTCTTCGACTAAATCCCCTATTTGATCAATGTGTTCCGCTGAGATAATTAATTATGGCCATACAATGTCTGTATCAATTAGTTTTAGATCGGACCATTAAATCTATTCTGTAATGGCCACGTGAGAATCGGACGAAGCTGCATACCTAGTCAGTACATGTACACCACTATCCCTATGTGACCATGTCCGGCCATTATGTCTATTTTGTTGTATGTCCTGCGACTGCTGTTTTTGATCTTAACTGTTCTCTTTCATGACAGGAAGCAGTGGACACGGTGTCCAAGCTGACAGATAAAATCAAATGGTATCGCCATAGAAACAACACATTACCGGAGAGATAATGGTCACCACTGAGATGGAAACCTGTGGACATTGACTATGTGACTGGTGTCCGTCAGGTATTCAATATCTACAGACTTCTATCTCAGCGGCAATCCCTTACCTGTCAGATGTACAATGTCCACTCCATCATCATATATTTTGAAATGATACAGCCATGTCCAAGCCTTTTTTATAACTTTTTATAGGTCACAGGTGAGCCATTACTGCTATCTACCAAACAAGTCCTTCATTCTTAGCCGGGAATCAAACTCCACCTGGTTAAGCTTTCGTACACTAGATACAATTGTTCTCTCCATTCTGCTACAGAGACAAGTATTCCATCTGATTGTACGGCCGAGATGAACAAAGATAAGCAGAAATAGGACAGAGATTTATATCCTGTAAGACTGATATGATAATAGAGGACTGTGTATTGATAAAGGAGTGACTTGTCATAGAACCTTAATTACTCCGCCTGATTAACATATGACTCCTATTTAAGAAGATACCATATTTCTGATTAGAAATTTCACTTCATGGCATAGAGCAAAACCTTCAGAAAAAAGAACAAAAACATCAAAGAATCTGCACAGCCATCACATAGATGAGTAAGACCTTCACAGAAAGGAACAAGACCTTCACAGAAAGGAACAAGACCTTCACAGAAAGGAACAAGACCTTCACAGAAAGGAACAAGACCTTCACAGAAAGGAACAAGACCTTCACAGAAAGGAACAAGACCTTCACAGAAAGGAACAAGACCTTCACAGAAAGGAACAAGACCTTCACAGAAAGGAACAAGACCTTCACAGAAAGGAACAAGACCTTCACAGAAAGGAACAAGACCTTCACAGAAAGGAACAAGACCTTCACAGAAAGGAACAAGACCTTAACAGAAAGGAACAAGACCTTAACAGAAAGGAACAAGACCTTAACAGAAAGGAACAAGACCTTCACAGAAAGGAACAAGACCTTCACAGAAAGGAACAAGACCTTCACAGAAAGGGACAAGACCTTCACAGAAAGGAACAAGACCTTCACAGAAAGGAACAAGACCTTCACAGAAAGGAACAAGACCTTCACAGAAAGGAACAAGACCTTCACAGAAAGGAACAAGACCTTCACAGAAAGGAACAAGACCTTCACAGAAAGGAACAAGACCTTCACAGAAAGGAACAAGACCTTCACAGAAAGGAACAAGACCTTCACAGAAAGGAACAAGACCTTCACAGAAAGGAACAAGACCTTCACAGAAAGGAACAAGACCTTAACAGAAAGGAACAAGACCTTCACAGAAAGAAACAAGACCTTCACAAAAAGGAACAAGACCTTCACAGAAAGGGACAAGACCTTCACAGAGAAAAGGACAAGACCTACACAGAAAGGAACAAGACCTTCACAGAAAGGAACAAGACCTTCACAGAAAAGAACAAGACCTTCACAGAAAGGAACAAGACTTTTATAGAAAGGAACAAGACCTTCACAGAAAGGAACAAGATCTTTACAGAAAAGAACAAGACCTTCACAGCAAGGAACAGGACCTTCACAGAAAGGAACAAGATCTTCGCAGAAAAGAACAAGACCTTCACAGAAAGGAACAAGACCTTCACAGAGAGAAACACCTTCACAGAAAGAAACAAGACCTTCACAAGACAAAAACAAGACCTTCACAGAAAGGAACAAGACAGAAACAAGACCTTAACAGAATAAACAAGACCTTCACAGAAAGGGACAAGACCTTCACAGAAAGGAACAAGACCTTCACAGAAAGGGACAAGACAGAAACAAGACCTTCACAGAATAAACAAGACCTTCACAGAAAGGGACAAGACCTTCACAGAAAGGAACAAGACCTTCACAGAAAGGAACAAGTACTTCACAGAAAGGAACAAGACATTCACAGAAAGGAACAAGACCTTAACAGAAAGGAACAAGACCTTCACAGAAAGAAACAAGACCTTCACAGAAAGGAACAAGACCTTCACAGAAAGGGACAAGACCTTCACAGAGAAAAGGAACAAGACCTTCACAGAAAGGAACAAGACCTTCCTTCACAGAAAGAAACAAGACCTTAACAGAAAGGAACAAGACCTTCACAGAAAGAAACAAGACCTTCACAGAAAGGAACAAGACCTTCACAGAAAGGGACAAGACCTTCACAGAAAGGGACTAGACCTTCACAGAAAGAAACAAGACCTTCACAGAGAGGAACAAGACCTTCACAGAATAAACAAGACCTTCACAGAATAAACAAGACCTTCACAGAAAGGAACAACACCTTCACAGAAAGGGACAAGACCTTCACAGAATAAACAAGACCTTCACAGAAAGGAACAACACCTTCACAGAAAGGGACAAGACCTTCACAGAATAAACAAGACCTTCACAGAAAGGAACAACACCTTCACAGAAAGGGACAAGACCTTCACAGAATAAACAAGACCTTCACAGAAAGGAACAACACCTTCACAGAAAGGGACAAGACCTTCACAGAATAAACAAGACCTTCACAGAAAGGAACAACACCTTCACAGAAAGGAACAAGACCTTCACAGAAAGGGACAAGACCTTCACAGAAAGGAACAAGACCTTCACAGAAAGAAACAAGACCTTCACAGAAAGGGACAAGACCTTCACAGAAAGGAACAAGACCTTCACAGAAAGGAACAAGACCTTCGCAGAAAGGGACAAGACCTTCACAGAAAGGAACAAGACCTTAACAGAAAGGAACAAGACCTTCACAGAAATGAACAAGACCTTCACAGAAATGAACAAGACCTTCACAGAAAGGAACAAGACCTTCACAGAAGGGAACAAGACTTTTATAGAAAGGAACAAGACCTTCACAGAAAGGAACAAGATCTTTACAGAAAGGAACAAGACCTTCACAGAAAGGAACAGGACCTTCACAGAAAGGAACAAGATCTTCGCAGAAAAGGACAAGACCTTCACAGAAAGGAACAAGACCTTCACAGAGAGAAACACCTTCACAGAAAGGAACAAGACCTTCACAAGACAAAAACAAGACCTTCACAGAAAGGAACAAGACAGAAATAAGACCTTAACAGAATAAACAAGACCTTCACAGAAAGGGACAAGGCCTTCACAGAAAGGAACAAGACCTTCACAGAAAGGAACAAGACAGAAACAAGACCTTCACAGAATAAACAAGACCTTCACAGAAAGGGACAAGACCTTCACAGAAAAGAACAAGACCTTCACAGAATAAACAAGACCTTCACAGAAAGGAACAACACCTTCACAGAAAGAAACAAGACCTTCACAGAAAGGGACAAGACCTTCACAGAAAGGAACAGGACCTTCACAGAAAGGAACAAGATCTTCGCAGAAAAGGACAAGACCTTCACAGAGAGAAACACCTTCACAGAAAGGAACAAGACCTTCACAAGACAAAAACATGACCTTCACAGAAAGGAACAAGACAGAAACAAGACCTTAACAGAAAGGAACAAGACCTTCACAGAAAGGGACAAGACCTTCACAGAAAGGAACAAGATCTTTACAGAAAGGAACAAGACCTTCACAGAAAGGAACAAGACCTTCACAGAAAGGAACAAGACAGAAACAAGACCTTAACAGAAAGGAACAAGACCTTCACAGAAAGGAACAAGATCTTTACAGAAAGGAACAAGACCTTCACAAAAGGAACGAGACCTTCACAGAAAGGAACAAGACCTTCACAGAATAAACAAGACCTTCACAGAAAGGAACAACACCTTCACAGAAAGGGACAAGACCTTCACAGAAAGGAACAAGATCTTTACAGAAAGGAACAAGACCTTCACAAAAGGAACGAGACCTTCACAGAAAGGAACAAGACCTTCACAGAAAGGAACAAGACCTTCATAGAAAGAAACAAGACCTTCACAGAAAGAAACAAGACCTTTGTACAAAAAAGAAAATACTTTCATAGAAAAAAAAAAAAAATCAAAGCAAAAATTAAACAAAGAACTTTTTCATAAAAGGAGCAAGACTATCCAGAAAATGACTGATACTCAGCTGTCCTTACTATATTAAGTATATATGACATAAATGATAAAACAGTACTTAGCTTACCTGATCCATTCACTGGTCTTGAGAGCGTTTTTCAACATAGCACATCTGTGTTTGGCAGGAACCAAGTCCTGAAACAGAAAAAGTACACACTTATATTGCTGTGTGATGAGATACATTGAAGAAGACCTTCACCAAATACTGGGAGGAGGCAGAACAGTCAACAATCTGTTTTCACAAGTGAGCTTAGTAAAGCTGGAAATGATATTTGATAATCATTTATTAGTAATGCTGTGTGGCAAAGTTACGTCATTTTACCAGTATTCAGCCAAGGAAAGTATTAGTATGATTTTAGATTTAGAGTGTATATCCCAAATGTGACTCACTATATGTAGAAAGACATTATTTTCAATTGTGACCCTTCAGCTAGCTGTAAAAGGTGTTAGTTCTTACAAGCATCGACTAAAAAACTTTCACCAAGTAGAACTAATTGATATTGAACTGCAGAAATAAAGCAGAAACTTGAGACGAATTTATTTACCAATATAGTTTCCTTTTATAATCACTGGTATCACATATATAAATCACTCCTATACCTATTAAACAATGTAACTACCCTATTACCGTTTTGGTTTGTACATGTATATGAAAAGGTCCTTGTGCTGCACCTTACCACTATATAACATTAAAGTTCTCACAGCCCTCAAACCTTGCATTTTTGGGATCAAACATTACGCTGTTTTTCTCAAACTTTAATAAACTCCTGCAATACTCTTTTGATTCTCTGCAGATTTCTGCTGCATTTAATATTTTTGCATTTTGAATTTTCATCTCCCTTTTGATTTCCATGTTATTCCATAGAGCGAATAAATGATTTAGTGCTGTGGGCTTTAATTTACTCTTGTTACAAAGCTGATATCAGCTTCATCAACATGCTTCAGAAAGAACCTTTCTATTAGATTATAAATCTGTTGAGCCACTTCACAAAAGACTGTAATCATAACTTGACATGCCAACATTATATTTCTCTGATTACGCAATGTGGCGCTGCTTAAAATTGTTTTGACTGGATTATTGATTTTTTTACCATTTGAAGATGTCCTTTTCTCAAAAATGAAAAGCTTTTAAGCTGCATGTAATAAGAACTGCCCAATGGCCCAATGGGGCATATACCTTTAGTGCAGCAATGAAGAAATATGAGAGCAGAAACTTTGTATACTGCCAAACACAGGGAGGATGGATATATAAGGTCATCTGACACCAGCCTTTGTGACCCATCATGAATTCATTGAGTAACCATCAAGGCAACCTTCCAAACCAATTATTCCCCAATGTAATTTATTATGCAGCAATGACATGTGACCCAATTCCAGAAAACACATATAGTATACTGTACATGTAAGTGTACTTATATTTGTAAAAGGAGAGGAAAAATACACGGCCATATCGGGGTTCGAACCTGGGACCCTCCGAATTCTAAACGGATGCTCTACCAGTTGAGCTATCTGGTCGCCGACGATCGACCTAGTCCAGTTCCGCTACATTCCTCCCTCCTTTAACAAAGTCTTCTACCCCAAAGACACACGAGACCCTATACCACTTTCTGTGGGTATATTTTGTTGGGCACCAAATGTAACAGGAGAGGAAAAATCCATGGCCAGACCGGGGTTCGAACCCGGGATCCTCCAAACTCTAGACGGATGCTCTACCAGTTGAGCTATCTGGTTGCCGACGATCGACCCAGTCCAGTTCTGTTACATTCCTCCATCCTTTAACAAAGTCTTCAACCCCGAAGACACACGAGACCCTATACCACCTTATGATGGTATATTTTGTTGGGCGCCAAATGTAACAGGAGAGGAAAAATCCATGGCCAGACCGGGGTTCAAACCCGGGATCCTCCGAACTCTAGACGGATGCTCTACCAGTTGAGCTTATAATCTGGTCGCCTACGATCAACCAAATCCAGTTCCACTACATATTATCGGACTCATATCTTATTGGAATGAAGGTGGTAGGACTTATTAGCTCATTCTTAAATTAGTGGATTTTTTAACAGACTATAGAATTAATATACTAGGTGAACAACTGGTGTAAGAGAACAAGGCCTATAGATTGGCAAGTCAGGTAAGTCAGGTAAGTCAGGTGAGTACCTTAGAACAAAGTAAAGGTTTTCTTTCAAGTATGTGTGAATGTGCAAATGAGTTGATGTCATTTATTGTCTGGTGAAATCTTGCAATATCTAATTTTAGAAGTGAATATGAATCACGGGAACAGACATATCGCAAATGCCACTAAAATTAGAATACCGCCAAAATAAGTATTCTGTGTTTAACACTGGATTGATTTGCTGATGTGCCAGTTGATGTTGTTATGGTCATCTCATTAGTGATTCTATATTTCTATTAAAAGAATCCATCAACTGGAAGGTGCTGCACTTCTATGAAAACTACCGTTGACTGGACGTTGGCTCTCCACCCCCCTGCATTTCATATTACATATGTAAACTCAAAAATATCAAGAAGCTCACAAACTAGGGCCTGTATCACTCACCTGGATATTGAAGCAATCGTGGGAAAATATTCTCATTAACTCATTCATCCCTGAAATTTCATAATTAACTATTCCAATCATTGAATTGGAAGAGTTCAAATGTGTCTTCAGGGGTGAAAGAGCTAAATAATATACTGCCAATATTTCCAAATATTGGCTGTCTCTCAGCAAAGCCCTCAATGTATTGGATCCCATCCCTCTGTCCCCATAGGGCTTGGGACATGGTTTATACAACACTGAATCCTCTTGGGCCAAAGATACTCTCAAATTTGATTAAGATCCTTTTTTCTGTACCAGGAACAATAAGGATTTGAAGATTTCCCTCTATTTACTTTATTGGACCACACCTTCCATTTACACAAAATAGAGACATCTTTGTTGAAGGATGGCTCTAGACCAATTAGAGTAGTTAAAATCCCTTCATTCTTATAGAAGGAGAAGGAATCACACCCTCAATCAAGTTCCATAAAATTGAGTCCCTCTTGCTAAAAAAATTGTCTAATCTGAATTCAGTTAAGATCCCTACATTCTCAAAGAAGGCAAAATATTTAAAAGATTTACCACTATTTCCTATCTTGGGCCCTACACCTTTGTCCCCAGAGGATCCATATATACCCTTCATTCATACAGAATTAAGTCCCTTTTGCCCAAGGATGCTTTTCACCAAACTTGGTTAAAATCTCTCCACTCATGGGGAAGATTAGGATTATAAACATTTTGATCCTTATGTTCTCCATAATTGGCCTCTCTCTAGGCCTATGCCCCTAGCAGAGCCATACAGAACTAAATTTCCCTTGCCTAAGGATAATGCAAGCCAAAGGGTATGTATAAGATAGGGATCACACACTGTATTTGAAGATAGGAAAAACTGAAAACCAACTATTAATAATAATAATAATTGGAGGTTCTTATATACCACTTTATCACACCCTAGTTCGTAGGTCGTCTCAAAGCGGTTCACAAATTATTATCCGTGGTTATAGGGCCTTTGCAACCAGCCAACATTTCTCAACTCCCTGCAGGGGAGTTCGAGCATGCAGCCGGAGCTGCCATTTCGGCGCTAACAGCTAGCATTCAACAATTCTACCACTGCCCAACCACATACTCATTTACGACTGAGTAGACTGGAACAAGCGGAGTAAAGTGTCTTGCTCAAAGATACAACACATTGCCGTGCCGTCGACTATTAAGCCAGTATAGACAGAGATTTGATTAAGACAACAGTCAGTTTAAACAGGCCTAAGTAATACTGTATGCAGCTGTCATTAAACTCATCATGTACTAATCTAAACCTGTCAACATAGAAAAGTACCTATATGGACACAAACATTGGATATATAATGGTTTGCTTTTATTGGTCCACACTAACATAGTAAATAAGTGATGTTTAGATCAATACCAGTACATCCACTCCAATTGTCAGCGGTATGCTGGTGTCGATGGTATCACAATAAGGACCACTTTGCTAGCTTTACATCTTTGATTGGGTAATCTTCTCTTATTTACTGCCAACAAACTCTCTATTTGTATTTCCACGGCAATAGATGATCCGAGTGTGTATAATATACATCAATACCACATATAATGGGAAGGTAGCCATGCTTAAGGTGACATCTGCCCTGTTCCAGATAGAAAACATGTTGGCAAGAATGTACACGCTCACCAGATCACTGTAATCTTTATGGAACAAGTATTTCTAAGATAAACCTAAATGTTTAATCCTGAATAATGAACAGGTGGAATGACCCCAGCCTTTAAATATACTAGATTAATACAACACAGAACATACTGCTTAGAATATACATGTTAAACAGGTAGCTAAAATCTGTGTGGAACAAGCATTCCTCAGATATACCTTAAACTATGACCCAAGTGAACAAGACAGATAATTATGGTCTGGCTAAACAGAAATGTAGAATTCTAGCTAGGCTATTTCAGAACTGATGAAATAAAATGTTATGTACACTGTAAAATATATATATTCAAATTAATCACATATTTTGTATTTGTATTTTTTTTCTATTAATCACCGTTTATAAACTCCGACTCTAAAGTCGCTTGACACAGCTGACAAACCTTATGCTAAATATACACTGTATTACAGCCAAATCAATATTTGAGACATGTGTAAATCTATGAACTTTAAAGCAATATTGACTATCACAATTACTTCAATTTTCTCTAAAGCTGTTTTTGTCTCCGTTTTCCATGGTTATGTTATATATAGTTGATGCTTTCCTTTCCTCTTTTTTGATGCATCCTCGATACTCCAGAGGTTACGCTGACTTACGCTCTATGCACTCCTGGAATATATCATGACAATGTGTCACCTTGTGGATGAGACAAGAAGACCAGTTTGGTCCTTTGATGTACAACAAAAGAAATGCAGCCACATAATGGTAAAATTGACTGTCTTTGAAGTTAGGTGTCGCTCTTCTGTAATCTTCAAAGGACAGGTATCCGCTTAGGGATTGGTTTAAAGGGCAGGTATCTGCTTAGGGATTGGTTTAAAGGGCAGGTATCTGCTTAGGGATTGGTTTAAAGGGCAGGTATCTGCTTAGGGATCGGTTTAAAGGAC